TATATGTATATATATGTATATGTATAATAAACACACAACCCAGTTACAAGGATGCCTGCAGCATCAGCACAACGTTATGACATCACGTTGAATTTAGATTTGTGAAAATTTACAAATTTGCACTGTTTGTGTTGTCATTGTGTTAGAGTAAATGTCATGAATAAATCTGACATTAAACATAATCCAAGTTGAAGTGTTGCATCATTTTCAGCCCCCTTTTTGGCATCTGCATTTGGTAGCAAGCCAAACTGACAAAGACCGTACAGAATAATGTATTTTAATTCCACAGCAGAGAAAGCTATGTAGTCTCTTTTAAGTAGGTGTAGGGAAAAAATATTGGTATTGATATCGGTTATCGGCCAAAAATCCAATATTGTGCATCCCTGCTGAAAACCTTTTTTTGTGTGGATACACTGTAAAGAGGTGTGAAAAGGCAGAAAGCTTAAAGTAACAATTATAAGTTAAAAACTGAATTTTAACTTTTTCTCTTCTTCTTCTTCTTTGTCTGACTCTGCTCAGGTATACCTGCTGGTCCTCAGCGTCACCACTCTCAGTTTGCTACTGGCTCCGCTGCTGTGGAGAGTTACGACACATAGATGGGTCCCACGCACCGAACGCAAAACTGTCACATGACCTCAGAGAAACTTTAGTCCCTAAATATTTAAACGAGTTTCATAAAGCTTGTTGCAAAAAAAAAAAAAAAATCAAGCCTTTATTCCATCATGCTGGACCAAATCTCTGTAATTTACGTCTACAAAAAACTGTCACCAAGGTTTACTCAGTGTGTCGTTTGTTATATTTTCTCTGACAAGGATGAAATCTTCTAAAGTTACATAAACTTTTGGTTAAAAAAAAAAAACTCAATCAGAATGTTTTAGATCACCGAGTTTAGAGAATTATAGCACATTCATTAATATATATCTAGATTTAAAGTCTGTGACTGTTGAAAATTGCGATAAAAATGCATACATTTTCACTTGGGATAGGCACTTGTGAAACATTTGTGTGCGTAACTGAATATATTACAGCATTCCTACAAAAAAAAATATTTGAATTGAGTTGCAAAGCGATTGCAATTTACTCTTTTGTCTTCAGTTAGTTTTAAAGTTGTCTCAAATTTCTCCCACTTCTGAAACTAAATTGAGACGTGTTTGAGACAGGTTCTAGACGTCAGGGACAACTCTGTGACTGTTAAAAAGATGATTTATTTAAAATACTGTTATGTTAGAGCAAGGCACTGCAAATAGCCAATTCGCTTGAACAGTTAGGAGACATTTTGGAAATTTGTATCGCCGAGCCCAGTGAGCTGCTGGCTTTAAGATGCAGAATCTGAGGTCTGGTTGCAATAAGTTACAGTTTATGAGAAAAACGGACGACTACAGCGCCAATCAACTCTGGCACTTCGAATGCATTTTAAAAATACACATCAAAATAAAACGGGGTCACTATTATTTATTTATGACTTTATTTTCAACTCAAAGTTTGCCTTTTCTTTCAGACCTCTAAGCTCCATGTGTTGATTACTAATGTTTATGAGATTTAAAAAAAATTCTGTTTTGCTTTCTTTTTTGAGGGAAACTTTTAAGTTTTACTGCATACCGGTACTCCTGAAGGTAAAAGGCCTCTGGCCACTGTGTATAAACAGTAGTACTTTTAGTTTAATCTGGTCGTATACTACTTGAAATTTGGTGGGGGTTTCCAGGAAACTGGCTTTTGGATTGTATAAAACAACAGTACGTTAGTCTGCACTGAAAAGACACATGAAGATGATAAAAATACACTACTAGCAGCCAAACTGCGTCACATTCACTGACGTTACATGGGAAGAAAAAACTTCGTCGGCCGCTACTGAATGTCAAACAATTCTCCGCACTTAAAGAAAAACTTTATGAAGTTTTACGTTGCACATTTTTCTGTGACGTAAATGTCCTTAATGTGCACTTTAAATGTGTGTAACGTGGCCAAATGTTGTATATGTTTGAATTTTCAAATAAATGTTTTATTATATTGTTGAAGAGGGTTTTGAGTTTATTATTATTGTTGTTCATGCTAAAGTTTGTTTTCTTACATTTTCCATTTACAGTAGTCCCTCGTTTATTGTGGGGGATCCATACCATGAAGACCCGCGATAAATGAAAAACCGCGAAGTAGGAATAGTGGTACAAGTAGTAAGAAGTAGTTTATTTATTATACACATATACATATGTGTGTGTGTATGTGTATATATATATATATATATATCCTGTATATACTCACACACAATATAACAGCATTTTAAACCCTTCCCACACTCTTGCAATATTCAACAAAAAAAAAATCTAAACTAAACGCAACACTCTTAAAGAGCACAGAATGTAATGTCATTTCAGCTCCCTGCCTCCTCTGCTCGTTGCCACCTGCAAGCGCTCTTGGCCACGCCCCCTTCTACGCTCTGCATGGAGAACAGCTGATCAGGAAGTTTATCCTGCATTATGGGTTGCACAAAGGTGTAAGAGGAAGCTTTTTCTACAGCTGTGTGCTGCATGTGCAGCAGGTGCTAAATAATTTTAAATAATTTATTTTAACTAAAAATTCCAAGCCAACCGTGCGGCTCATCCATCAGTCAGCCAATTGTGTGTCATGGCCAATCTTATTTTGAAAAACCGCGATAGAGCGAGTCTGCAATAAACGAACCACAAAGTAACAAGGGACTACTGTACTTTGATGTTGGACATTTGCATTCATTTATTTAGTAAAAAATAAAATATGTCAATAACTGCTTATGTGGGATTAATTTATTTTCTAGAAATGTATAAATATTTTTGCCTTTGTTAATCAGTTTTTATATTTAAAACACACTGTCAGCATTACACCAGATGATCAGTTTGTAGCTCATACATTTTATGTTTATGACATATTTTGACACAATGATTTTGTTCAATGGTTCACAAACTAAGAATTTTACAGTTTTTAAATAATTCTTAAGGCAGTCTGTATATAAGTACCTATGTGGTGCATGCATTTGTTAGCAAAAAATCTCACAAACCCAACATTTTTTCAGCTTTTGAGCTAAAATATGATTTGGTTACAGGTTTTCCCAACACATATTCCGAACCCCAACAGATCACGTGGGATTTTTGTTCAAAACTTCATTATGCAAGGCGGTTGACGATATGAAATCCGACAAGGAATGCTAGTTTTCTTAAATCTATGACTTGGTAAAAATTATACCAAATAAAAGTTGTTTCATGTTTTTTTTCCCACCAAATTAAATGAAAATATTAAAGAAAAATAGTGAAAAGCAGAACATTAATTCAACCTTTACTTACACGGGTTAGTCTCATTGGGTCATGATGACTTATTTTTAAGAGAGACCTGTTTTTGACAAGTCTCTCTTGAAAATGAGTCCTTGTGACTGTTTTATTAACATAAACCAGGTAAATGAACATGTTAACTTCACAATTCCATGTGACAAAATAGTTTTTTAAAGGAAACTATCTCGATTATCTGAGGAAACCCTTGTCCGTTAACTGCATAACAGTGGTCTGTGTCTGAGACGGGCCAACACGTGTGGTGTTGTGTGTGCAGGACCCGTTTAAGCTGCTATCCCACAAACTTTGCAGTCAGCACATCTCTGAGAAACATCATCATCATCATCCTATTAGTGCGTGTAGGCAGGAGAGCAGACTTTATGTTGATAGGGCCATTTGTCAAACATATTTGAGACTCTAAAATAAATTCACTATAATATATTGATTTTTTAAATTGATTTTAGTCATCTTAACACCAAATTACAAAAAAAGTTTGTATATTTCTTGGGAAATTGTAAAAGGGGTACATTTCTCTGAGGTTTACGAGCACACCTGCACTCCCTGGTTGGTTGAGTTGAAAACGACTTGTTCTGGTCATGGGACCCAATTGATCTTTGGACACCTGATAGCAATACTGTAGGCGTTCTTCCCAAAAAAACATTGAGATTCACATTAAGATGTAAAACGTCCTTCCTGCTCACACCTTTCTCCAAGCTGTGATCCATTTCATATTATCTCTTCACTTTTTAAAAAGCCAGGATCTAGGAGGGATACAGAGGTGGAACAGCATGCAAACTGATTTGTTATTGCACATGTACAAGCTGTTTAACGATTTTATATATTGAAATTGTCCAAGCACACAATCCTGTAGAATACCATGAATATAAATAAGACTAAAACCAGCTAGATTCTGTTCTTTCAACCTCAGTAGGTTTTATTTTGTTAACTTCAGTCTGACTTTGGGTGTTTGTTTTCTGGGTTCTAGAACAGCGCCACTCGGGGTGGCTGCATGTTGGAGTAGCTCTGTTACATTCATTCCGATTTATTGCTTTTGAAAACTTTAATTCCTCTTTTTTTCCTGGATGTAAATCACTTTTTTATATGATTATTTACTCTGGTATCAGATACTGTGCAGCTGGAAGGATTTTTACTGAAACCTTTTTACATTTGGGCATTTGTTATGATGCGTAACCATGGCAACAAGGTGTTTTTTTAACAACCAGGAGCAGCTGATTCTCAATAGTTCAAATACATCAACTACAGCCCCAAATCCCAAATGAGTTGAAAAGGAGGTGCCGTGGATGAATTCCCGTCAACCTGGTGGCAGTACTCGAGTACCTGACCGCCGAGATCCTGGAGTTGGTTAGAAACTTGGCTCGTGACAACGGGAGGGCTAGGATCATCAGAGAGAGTCAGAGATTCTTTATTGTCATTCGCACCTCATGTGGTACATGTGGTGGAGCGAAATTATGTACACAAGGTCCCAGTTACATCCAACAACAAAATGTATAAGAAAAACAGTAATAACATCTAAGACATGAACTAAGAAAAGCATCAACTAAATATACACTAAGCACTCATAACATAAAACATTGAACATCAGCACAAACATGAACATGAGTCTGTGTGAGCGGATGTGCACGCATGAACACAGCAGCATTGAAACAGATCAGCAGCAACATGAAACAGATCAGCAGCAACATGATATGGTTTTTCACAGTGATCATACTGGGTAGAGATTTATGAGTCTAACAGCCTCAAGGTAGAAGCTGTTCCTCAGTCTAGTGGTTATACACTTAATGCTCCTCAACCTCCTTCCTGAGGAGAGTGGGGCAAAAAGTGTGTGTGCTGGGTGAGTGGGGTCCTTCATGATGCAGGTGGCCCTCTTCCTGCATCTGGAGGTGTAGATGTCTGTGATGGTGGGGAGTGGGGAGGCTGATTCCGACAGACTTCTGTGCAGCCTTCACCACTCTCTGCAAAGCTTTCCTTTCTGCAGCTGTGCAGCCTCCATGCCACACGTTGATGCTGGAGCACAGGATGCTGTCCACTGCACAGGTGAGGACTGAGCTTCCCAGACCAGCTCGCCTCAGCCGTCTGAGGAAGTAGAGTCTCTGATGAGCTTTCTTGATCAGGCTGGTGGTGTTGTTGCTCCAGCTGACGTTGTCATTCATGTGTACACCCAAGTACTTGTAGCTGGAGATCACTTCCACCGCAGATCCTCTTATGTTCAGGGGGGTGTAGATGTTTTTGTTCCTTCTGAAGTCCACAATCATCTCCTTTGTCTTCTTCACATTGATGTGAAGGTTATTCTCTTTGCACCAGCTCTCCAGGTGTTCCACCTCCTGCCTGTAGCTGGACTCATCATTGTTTGTGATGCATCCCACCACCGCTGTATCATCTGCAAACTTTACAATGTGACAGCCTTGGCTCGTGACTTGGCTCGTGACAACGGGAGGGCCAGGATCATTCCCTGGCACCTTCAGCTGTCTGTCCGTGGTGACGAGGAGCTCAGCCGTTTGCTGGGAGGCGTGACCATCGCTCAGGGAGGAATTCTGCCTGGCATTCGGGCAGTCGATCTTGCTGCCCAGGAGGAACGAGAGGCCTGTCGGGTCTGACAGCAAGCTGGATCCGGGTGGACGGATCGGTATCTGTCGCCAGATTCTTCGGCTTCACTGCAGGAGATCCTTCCTGCCCACAGCTATCACCTTCTATATCAACTCTTGAATGAACCCAGGATGATGAGCTACGACAACACAATTTACCTTTGGGATTAATAAAGTATATTTTAATTTAAATTTTGAATTTGTTTTACATAAAGCACAACTGCAATAAACTGACACAAATTTTTCAACGTGGGCTATTTGTATTTTCTTCTTTCGGCTGCAAACTAAGTCGCACAAAGACTTGGCAATTATTTTTACACCGGATGCCCTTCCTGATACAACCACAGACCACTGAGCTACCACAGCCCTCTGTGTGGCGCAGAGAGCTGCTATCTAGGGCATCCGGGGCAGCAGATGGTCATGGTTAAAGGTCTTGCTCAAGGGCCCAGGGTGGAGCAAATGTGGGTGGAGACAGGTGTGGGTGCTTCATCTATTCCACCTACATTTTAATGTTGTCGGTACCAGAGCGGGAGTTGAACCGGCAATCTTCCGATCACAGGCCCACCTTCTTTAACCTCTGCACCACCACTCCCCTCAGGTGGGTTATTTGTATGAAGTTAAAAATAAATAAAGTAGGACCTTATTCAGGTGGTTTCGACCTTGGTTAACACTGAGGGGCCGTCAGCCTTTCCAGGTGTACATGCAGCACAATTTTACCTTAAAGAAGCCAAAATATCTCATCTATAATGTTAGATTTTACTTCTTGTGCCTTTCTTTTACCTTTCTCTTGTCTTTTTGTTCTCTTTACCCTCCCTGCCTCTTACAGTGAGCACATGGGTTAGCACATGATAAAGCATTAGAGAGATGCAGCATGGATAAATCTCTTTGGGAAAGGTGATGAGTCAGGTAGATCTGCATGTGTGTGAGAGGGCGAGAGGGTTTAGTGATCACCTCACTGAGGGAAGGCACTGACTTCTCTTTGCAGCAAGTAGACTTCAGATTTATGACAAACATTGCTTCTGAAGAAATAATCCACATCTGGAGACATTTTCTCTTTACTTTTGGTGCATTGCACACGTTTCTCCTTCCACCTTCTTCCTTCCACTGTCACCATGGATATTGGTGGCTTGACAACAGTGGTGGCCAACTCTGCCTACATCTCTGCCCGTGGCAGCTTCGACGGCAGTGCTAACCCTTCGGTCATCCGAGACAAGAAGTACCGCTCCCGCCTAAAGCTGCCTCACATCACGGTTTGTGAAGGTCTGCGGGAAACCTTAGATCTTGGCTTCAACGTCATCTGTGTGGAGCAGCCCATCGGCAAACGTCTCTTCCAGGAATTTTTGGAGTCCAACAATGAGTATAAGGGGCCCTGCCGTCTGTGGAAGGATGTTGAGGAATACAACATGGCTGAGGATGAAGATAGAGCCAATAAAGCCAGAAAGATCTTGTCTCGGTACATGGAGCCTGATGCCAGGTATTGTTGTCCTTTTCTGCCAGAAAACAGCATCACAAAGGTAAAAGAAAAACACCAAGAGGCTGGAGACGACCTCTTCACTGAGACAACGGAAAGTGTGATGGACTTTCTCAAGGAGGTGCCCTACACTGTCTTCCTTGAGAGCATGTATCTGAAGAGGTTCCTGCAGTGGAAGTGGCTGGAGATGCAGCCCATAGGAGAAGACTGGTTCTTGGATTTTCGTGTGTTGGGTAAAGGCGGGTTTGGGGAAGTGTCCGCCTGTCAGATGAGAGGAACCGGGAAACTGTACGCCTGCAAGAAGCTCAACAAGAAGAGATTGAAGAAGAGAAAAGGTTATGAGGTAAGCATTATTGGTCCATCCAGTATCGTCAACTCTGTTGGTGTTGTTTTCTTTGAAGGCGTCTCGGTTGATGCAGAAGTTGAGTTTCTTATATTTGCTGTGGTTTCCTGTCTGCAGGGGGCAATGGTGGAGAAAAGGATCCTGGCTCGAGTCCACAGCAGGTTCATCGTCTCTTTGGCTTATGCCTTCCAGTCAAAAACAGAACTGTGTCTGGTCATGACCATCATGAATGGAGGAGACCTAAGGTTAGATCTTTTATGTCCTGTAGACTCTTACAGCTGATGTTCCTTATCTGATATCTTCCACGGTTTTGAACATATTTTTTTTGAAGACATTTCCTTCCATGAGTAACCTACCCCACTTCCCCAGGTATCACATCTATAACGTGGATGAGAACAACCCGGGCTTTGATGAGCCACGAGCATGTTATTACGCTGCACAGATCATCCAGGGCCTGGAGCACCTCCACCAGAAGAGGATCATCTACAGAGACCTCAAACCAGAGAACGTGCTGCTGGATAATGAAGGTCTGTTAGAACCATCGTCTGCGAACTGGCTACGTGGAAGTTTAAATCCTGCCTACTCCTCCACACACAATCATGGTGTCACATGACTTTTCTTTGTGGTGTCACATGACCTTTCTGTGTCATTTTACCCATGGGCAGCAGGAGGGTAAAGCATGATGTCACTTATTACAGCTAAATGTGAAAAAAATACGAACAATATTAACATTGTCAACGTTATCTGAGTGTGGTTATATGCTTAAAAAGAGCAATGTCCCGATTATTTATGTAGAGGGGTCAGAACTTAACACTTGAACTGGAAACAGCTGACTAGGAAAACCAGTCCTATGCTGGCTTCAGTTTTTGGGTTCTGTTCTTAGTTTTTTTTTTTTGTCCATGTCCTAAATTGGTTAATTTCCAGTCTGTAGTTTAATTCCAATCCCCACCAAGTATCCTCGAGTAATACCCTAACTCAGACTTTCTCTAATTTGGTGTTGAAAATGCAAATTACTCCAAAATCAATTTTGCTCAATAAAAGGTTTTATTTTACAACTTTCAGCTGACTGAGAGTTTACAAACACAACAAAATATAATTAAAATTATAGATGGCATTTATTTTTGTGCTAAATTTCAGAGTGAATGACACAAAATTTCATTTAGTATCTTAAAACCAGGCACAAAAGCTTTTGAACAGGGCCATTAGGGAAAGAGACATAAGATAAGAGATAAAACTTTATTGATCCCACAGGAAATTGTTGTGCCAGAGTTTCAGTACAAA